ACCTTTCCAATTGGTTAAAACCTAAGAATCCGGCGTTTTGCACTAAAGGTCATGGCATCGTCGCTTTGAAGGTATACATTCGTAGAGATGACTGACGATTTCCGCAGAGCGACTAACCACCTGCGCGCCCAAAAAGTGAGTTTCCACACCTACGCCCTCCCAGATGAGCATAACCTTCGTGTGGTCGTCCGCAGACTCCCCAAGAAGCTCGAGACCATCACAATCAAAATTCAAAAAAACATAGATATTAAAATAAAAAAATATATATCTGTATGTCTATACATACATATAATGATTTATGGCTGCTTAGTAACGCCGAAACTAAGAGGAGAGAATCACTGTAGAAGAGGTAATAATTTATTGCAGAAAATTTGTGATAAAATTAAAAAAATTACAAACTTATCCAAGATACCCTTACCCGTTACAAAAAAAAAAAAACAAATAATAAAGTAATGAGATGGCGTCACTTTTTAAGAATATATAACATAAAGAAACAAAAATATAAATTTCAAAAAAGTTCAGTATCTAGTTGACAATATACTGCTGACAATTAATCACGCTTTTCGAAACCACGCCAGTTGTAAACAATACTGTTTAGGCCAAACAACGAACATTTGAAATTTGCATTCAACACTCGTGTGTCCGCCCGCTGACTTTGTAAATGTCACCGTCGCCTCACTCCCGTGTGGGTCGCTCAGCAGAGGGCGCGAGTGCAGGACGCTAGTGCGAGGTCAGTAGCTTGACGGCAGCGGTGCGGTCCATTAACGTATTTTGTTGACCGCTGCATTGATTTCGCGCGACCAGTTTTTTGGGTTTTGTGGTCTGGAATTTGAGTCTTTGTGCGCGTTTAGTATTTAATATCGTACTATTATACGGAACCGTGGATAGAGCTTTTTAAAAAACGATTTTATTTACACAACACGATATAATTGGTTAGAATTAACAATAAGATTTATTTAACTTAGGATTTAGAATAACTGGGACTTAGAATGATATAGTAAAGATTTAGTATAGGATATAGTAACGGCTTAGTAACGATGTATGAACGAGACTGAGATTGGAACGAGACTGACTTGACTTGACTAACTTATGATTCGATTGACTTATGGGCGTTTGTCGGGAGGTCGGTTATATAGGCTTTATTGTGCTGACGCAGCAGCGTGAAAGAGATGGGTTAACCGATCTCCTAACATTGATGGGGTATAACAGCCCCCCGCGGAAAACTGAAGATCGGGAAAATAACCGAGCTTCAGAATATTGTAGTTTATGCGACTTCTCTTAACCGGGGTGCTGGTATTGGTGAATCCTCGCGTTGTGAAATGGAATGATTTTCATCATCGTTACGAGTCGGAATTTGTACGTTAGTATTTTAATTATTCTTAAATCTAGACATTATAAATTTGTAACATTTAAAGGCTATGAATATAACAATAATTATTAATATAACAGAGGTTAGCGTTATATGGTATGTCCCGTATTTTACTACTAAGGGTTTATTAATTATATTATCAAGTTTCGAAAGGTTTTCTAAATTTTGTTTATTATTTGTGAAATCATCTAGGTCTATGTTTTGTAGTAAAATAGGAGATGAATATTTTTTAATACTAGAGGATACATTAGGTTTACAACAGGGATCATTAATTATATTAAAGTCTAAACTAGGCGTAGGAATATTAATGTTCAAAGTGTCGTCAGACGACACGAGCCTTGTGCTCTTTGTATACACTGTGCACTGTGCGGGAATATTTAGGATACCCGTACCGAGTATAATTGTCTCTTTTAATCCTGAGATACCACAGTCAATGGTTATCTTATTTGGACGAGATTGCACAAAAATCCACCGATTGTTCACTAGTGGTTTCCAGATGTCCATTTCACTAAATAGTGTTTTAGTTTCGCACTGAACGGGTAGAGCACTGAATGTCTTAGTGAGAAGTTCACTTTCACATGTAGGGTTACCACTTGTTAATGATATGGTCGGGACTTTACACAGGTAGAACTCAGAGCGTATAGACTTACAATTATTTATATTATCTAAATTACAGTAGCTTAACTTATCATTAGATATTCCGATGTAGGGAGTTGAAGGTAGGATTAAACTAAAGATGTTCAGGCTGGTTAGGTTATGAGGAATAGGTAGAGCTATGCTATGGTATAGGTTAAATTGTTCATTCATTGTAAGAGGGATTTGTAGGATAAAAACAATTTTATTATTTATAAAATAACACGAAACATCGGAAATAGTTAAAATTAAATGAATATTATTTATGCTTAATGCTATGGGTATCCCTGCGTCTCTAGGTAGGTGCCTATCGTTATCAATGAGTTCTTTGTATAGTTGTGTCGGGGACAAAACACTCGGATGTAGGATGTTTTGGCTACTTAGAACAATGGAGTTGGTTATGTCCTCCAATTGGAATGATAAGGCGAGTAACGAAGCTTCGAGGCTACTAAATACTGAATGGGCCTTTGATTCAATTAATAAGTCATTGGTGATATTATTTGTATTGTTTAATATTGTATTTAATGCGTTATTTAATATTTCCTCGTTGTATTTTATTTTGCTTATAGTTTTATTAAATGTATTAAATGAGGTAGTTGTTATTAAAATATTTTCTTTTAGGAGTTGGGCGAGTTCCTTTTCGTCCTTTTGAACTGAGGTTTTGGCGGAGTCGTATTTTGTGGCGTCTTCTTCGTCCATAGTGCCAAAGATGTGTTTGAATATAGTGCCTATTTCACTAAACCACGCGGCACGTTTATTACGTTTAGATATTAAATGGGAGATTGAGTCGTATTCCCGGTTGATGTCATTCAAACGAGTTGTTAAAGGAGACAACGTGTTATCACAATAAAGATTATTCGATTGTTGACATAGAAGTTTTACAGTTTTTAGAATTTCGTTAAGGTTAGTTAAGTGTGGTTCAATATAAGAAATGTCTATGTGGCTAACAACGTCTAATTTACCTCTAACTATTTTTAATTTCCCTATCTTATCAAAGTAGATGCCGGAGATAAAAGGAAGCGGCTGAACCATTTCCGGTTGCGCCTGGGACGAGACACTGAAAGTGATATAAATGAAATATGAATGTAAAGTTATTTAATAGAAATTAAAACAGTAACATTTTATTTACTAAAATTAATATAGATTATAATATTTCTAGATGACTAATACTTAAATTTAAATTAAATTATTCCGGACATTTCAGCCGGTTTGAATTCGTCGAAGTGATGAGTTACGTGACGTCTATTAATTAATAGTGTGGCCGTATGGTTGTTGTGGACACGAATTATTTTAAAAGGTCCTTTCCAGACGGGTGAGAGTGCCTTTCCTTGTCTTAAATGGTTTTTGAGGTAAACGTAATCGCCAGATTTATATTGGGGAGGAGTTCTGGTGTGAGAGTCATAATAAGCTTTTGAAGATTCTTTGGATTTTAAAATGTTTTCTACGGCCATTTCTCGTGTATATTTGAGTTTGTCTGCCGACTTCCAAAAAGGAGCCGGTACTCAATTCGACTGTATGTTTTTTTTTTCGTTTTTTTTTTTTATGTGTGTTACCTCAGAACTTTTTTCTGGGTGAACCGATTTCGATGATTCTTTTTTTATTTGAAAGCTGGTACTTCTCGTGTGGTCCCATATGAATTTGATCAAGGTCAGACCAATAGTTTTTAAGTTATTCTTAAATAACTTATATTGAAGTCGGCTGTACAAAATTTTTAATTTTAAATTATGTTGTAACATTTTAACATAGTCGGAATAGGTTGTTCCGGAGCTCCTTTCATATATAGAATTTGGAATATAGGGTTTTTATCCAAAGACTAGCTCGTAAGGAGTAAATTTTGTAGTGGTATGTGGAGTGGTATTGTATGTAAGTATAGCGGTATAGACGTTAGTGGGCCAATTATTTTGATTTGTATTGACGAATGATTTCAGATATTCTTTGAGAGTGGAATGGCTGCGTTCTAGTGCTCCTTGAGTTTGTGGATGATAGGGTGAAGACCATAACTGCTTGATTTTTAGGAATTGGCATGTGGTTTTGAAGAGGTCGGACGTAAAATTTGTCCCTTGGTATGTTAGGATTGATTTGGGTATTCCAAATAAGGAGAAGAAGTGGATGAGGCAATCGCTGGTTTCTTCGGCTGTTGTGGTACGTATGGGATATGCTACAGAGTACTTTGTTAGGTCGTCTTGTAAGGTGAGTATATAGCGGAGTTTAGCGGTTCCGGATTCGGGTAGAGGTCCTACGATGTCTAGAGCTACGCGTTGAAAGGGAGCAGTGGATGTAGTAGTGATTTCCATAGGGGCTTTGCTTATTTTCCTGAGAGCTTTATTTTCTTGGCAGGCTTTGCATTTCTTCACATAGTCTTCTATGTCGCTTCTCATTCCTTTCCAATAATATTGGTCCTGAATCCTATTATACATCCGGGTTGAGCCTAGATGTCCTGCTATTGGGATATCGTGGTTATCCCGAAGGATTTTTGGTCTTTCACTTAGAGTAGGATATATTATTTGATTACGATAAATATGGATAGAGATTCTAGAGTTGTTGAATATGTAAGTAAGTATATTATAGATTTTGGAGTGGGAAAGTCTGTCAAAAGGGTTCCGGAAGTCAGATATTGCGATATCTGTTACGTCATTTGTTTGAAGGATTTTGTTTTTTATTCGTTGCAGTGTTTCATATATTGCAGGATAGGGTGTTTCGTCGAAGTAATGGACCTTCGTGAATATAAAATATATTGTTTTATCTAAGTATTGTAACTTTTGGAATGAAAATAATTCTTTTTCAGCTTTTATGATTTCCTCTTTATTTTCTAAATTTGATAGAATTTCGGAGATGTGGGGATTTGATTCGTCTAGGTCAATAGAGGTAGGAATTATAATTGTTTTAAAGGATGATTTTAACAGGTTTTCGTTGTGTTCTTTTAAGGTGGTGTTTGGTATAAATTCTTTATTTGAGATGGATTTTAGGAATTGGGAATAGTTATTGTTTTGCGTCTCGTTTACTTTTTCATTTTCTGGTTCAGGTGTGGGAACAGTTGGAGTAAACTTGGTTGATTCGACGGGATAGGAGACTTTTCAGGTATCGGCGAGTGACGGAAGGGAGTTGGAAGTTGGTTTGGCGGAATTGGTAGATTTTCAGGTGGAGGTGTAGGCAGATTAAGTGAATCAGTGTTAATATTGAGATCGTCACCGTAAGCACCTACGTCTCGGAGACCGAAATCGTCAAAGTCAAAGATTTGATCGGTTGTAGAGGGTTGAGGATCTACTGAACTAGAAGGATTAGGATTAGTGTCATTAGTTGGCTGTAGGATAGGACTATTATTTAGGGGAATTTCGAGATCTTCGAGGAGGTCAATTAAAGGTGTTTCATTGCTATCGGGATTAGGTATAGAAGGGAGCTGTCTTTCTAATTCTTCGGGTGTGATATGGTCGAATGAAGGAGGGAAATGATTTTCCACTTGGGACTCTGGGTGTTGAATGGGATTAACAGGAAATCTGGAGAGAGCGTCAGCGTTGGTGTTAATTTTACCCTTTTTATGGACGATGGTATAGTCGAATTCTTCAAGTTTGAGTCGCCAACGGATTAGTCTGGATCCTGGGTCTTTGCAACTGAACAGCCATTGTAGAGGCTTATGGTCCGTGACGATGGTAAAAGTGCGTCCATAAAGATAAGGACGAAATGCTTTGGTTCCGAAAACGATAGCGAGACACTCTTTTTCAATCACGCTATAATTGCACTCTGCTTTGTTTAAAGTGCGGGAAGCGAAGGCTATAGGACGGTCTTTACCTATTTGTCCCTGGGTTAGGATTGCTGAAATAGCGAAATTAGAAGCGTCGCAAGTTAGTATAAAAGGTTTTGAGAAATCTGGATATGCCAGGACTGGTGAAGTGGTAAGTTTTTCTTTAAGTACTTCGAAGGCTAATTGCTGTTCATTTTTCCAGCAGAAAGGAGTATCCTTTTTAAGGAGTGAAGTAAGAGGTTTGGCTAATTTGGAGAAGTCGGGCATGAACCGTCTATAGTAAGAGACCAGTCCGAGGAAAGATTTTATGTCCTTAGCACATTTGGGAACAGGGAATTCGGAAATTGCTTTTAATTTCTCTGGGTTTGGTTTTACGCCATCGTTGTTGATGAGATGTCCCAGATAAGCGACTTCTTTACATAGGAATTCGCATTTGTGGGGTTGAAGCTTAAGGTTGTAGTTTCTTAATCTACTGAAGACAGAGGCAAGATTTTGTATATGAGAGTTAAGATCGTGAGAATAGACAACTATGTCGTCGAGGTAAACGAAACAGCGGGAGCCCTGGAGACCAGAGAGGCATGTATTCATGAGTTTTTGGAAGGTAGCTGGAGCGTTTTTAAGGCCAAAGGGCATCCTAGTGAACTGGAAGTGACCTTGAGGTACTGAGAAGGCAGTCTTAGGTGCATCTTCAGATGATACAGGGATTTGATGGAATCCTGATGCAAGATCTAGAGTAGTTAAGTATTGGCTTTTCCCCAATTGGTCAAGGATTTCAGTTATTTGAGGAATAGGGTATGTTTCTCCGATGGTGACGTCATTGAGTTTACGATAGTCGATCACGACACGCCATTTACGTTCCCCTGACGCGTCTAATTTTTTGGGAACGACCCAAATAGGAGAGGACCATGGTGAATTTGAAGGAGTTATGATGTTTTGATCTAGCATTTTACTTATTTGTTTTTCTACTTCTTTCTTGTGACATTCGGGGAATCGATAGGATTTTGTTTGAATAGGGACGTCTGTGTTAGTTTTAATTTTATGTTCGATTGCAGTGGTGCACGTGAGTTGGTCGTCTGGGAGGTGGAATATATCTGAATAGTTAGAACATATGTCCAATAAAGCGTTTTTCTCTTCGCTATTAAGGTGAGAGGTTCTTAATTGTTTGAGAACTTCGTTTGTCCTTTTTGACACGTTGTAGACTGATGGTTTGGAAAAAGCTATGGTGTTTTCAAGCTGTACTGGCTCTATTTTTAAATTAAGATTTGGGTGAAGAGTGCTTTGCGAACCGAGCGCTGTGTAAACCACACATCCGGCATGGAGCACTGACATCGCGGGATGGTTGGCGGTGTGTTCCCCCCGTCATCTAGAGTCGTGTTGGACGCAAAACGAGAACTCAACAGATCGGCTTTCTCCTTTGCGGCATGGGCCAGTGAGTCGTCCTCTCTGTGCAGAGATGGAAGAGATGGCTGACAGAAGTTCCCTTGGACAGCCTTGGCGATAGACCAGAATGCACGGGTTCCCGAAGGAAGGCGAACTAGCTTCTCGCCAATTCTACCGATGTGCTCAGACTTTGCCTCGGAAATGACTCTTTTGAAGGACCTGGAGGCGGAATTATGCTTCTTTTTAAGTGCGCTGGTGTTTACATCCCGAGACGTTGATGCGTCAGCCCAGGCCCGGTAGCACTTCTGCTTATAGCGTGATGCTATTTTACAGGAGCGACCAAACCATGGCTGGGATCTGCCTCCGATGGGCACCACAGAGGATGGAATAAAAAGTTCCATACCCTGAAGTACCACATCAGCAACAGAATCGGCAACAACAAAACCGGCGAGAAGCAAACCCGCCCCCAAGGTTAGTGTATACTAAGAAGTGGAAGTGTTTACTACTGTAATATTGACGCGTTTGTTTTCCTTTACTTTAACTAAACAATTTGCAATTAATAAAGAGTTAGAGATGTGTTGATCTAGAATCATTCCTTCGCGAACTTCTGGGTTACTAACTGTACATTCGATTACAGTCTCCGTGCGAGGGGAGATTGTATACACGGGTTCGGAAAAGTTGAGTTTAATTGAATTAGAACCTATTTGTAGCATTCCTTGAGAATAATTGATTTGGCATTGGAAGTCCCTAAGAAGGTCGTTACCGATGATTCCATCATGATTTAGGTTAAGATCTTGAACAACATGAAATTCGTGTGAAAAATATTTATTAGAGTTTATGTATATTTTCATTGGGAAGCTGCCTAATGTAGGAGTTGTTTCGTCTCCGGGGTCGATTCCTTTAAGTGTTATTATCTCATTACTTAGGACTGGAAGGTTTGATATGGATTTTGATTTTAGTAGGCTTACAGATGAACCGGTATCTACTAGGAAGGATAATGGCTTTGTTGCAACGCATGTTTGTATCATAACATGAGGTAAGTATCTTTTTTCTATATTACTATTTATTTCATAAACTTTAATTTGTCTTTTTTCTGATTTCAGGTTATGCGCAGGAAGCGGTGTGACATTTGGATTTAAGCTACGCTGGTTATGGAAGTTAATGCGTTTGGAATATTTGACTGGAGGAACAGATTCCATGGGTTGCAAGGATATCTTATGTGAGTTAGGAATACGTGATGCTGCAACGGATGCGTATGAGACTTTAGGATTGGTAAGTTTTACAGGGATTTGTGCATGGAGATTGGATTCAGTGGATGCAGTGATATTGGACTTGTCAGTTTGGGGCTGGTTACCCTGTCGGTTAAGTCGATTGGATACAGTGGATACAGTGATATTCGACTTGTCGGTTTGGGGCTGGATACCCTGTCGGTTAAGTCGGTTGGATACAGTGGATACAGTGGAGTTCGACTTGTCAGTTTGGGGCTGGTTACCCTGTCGGTTAAGTCGGTTGGATACAGTGGATACAGTGGAGTTCGACTTGTCAGTTTGGGGCTGGTTACCCTGTCGGTTAAGTCGGTTGGATACAGTGGAGTTCGACTCGTCAGTTTGGGGCTGGTTACCCTGTCGGTTGAGTCGATTGGATACAGTGGAGGTGTCGTTTGGAATTGAGATAGTGTGTATACGAGGCCTTGGACTCGCGGGACACCGCCGAGGGCCCTTTATTCGTTTAAATTATGGTCAACCTCATCGTGTCCTTGGTCTACCATGCCCACCTGTTCGACAGAGTGGATTTTACGCGAAGTGTGTTCGCCACCCTGCTGGAATATATGAGGTGGACCTTGTGAGGGTGATGTACCGAATTGTTGTTTGCTTTTGTTGTATTGGCGTTTACGACAGTTCTCTATGTTGTGTCCAACACTCTTACAATATCGACAAAATACATAAGTGTTGGGCCTAAAATTGTCGGTGCGGTAGTTTTGTTGAAAAGGTATGTTACGACGGGGCGGCGATCGTCTTTCGTTGTATATAGGTTGAGATTGTGGCGGTTGAGGTCTTTTCCCTATGCTGGAGAGGATCTTTTCTTCGGCAAATGCGAAGTTCACGGCTGAATTTAAAGAGTCAGGGTCGCGGCACCTGACTATCTGGGATAAACGCGGCTGGATAATAGCTGCTACGCGACCTGATAGTTCCGTTTTCCTTTTAGTTGGGATGGAAATATTTATTTCAGTTAGTAATTTAGCTAGGCATGTTTCTATCCTTAAAGCAAATTGATTTACCGATTCTGTGGCGTTCTGTTTGCAATCCTGTAGGTCTGACAGGAGGTGAGAGTAATGCTTTCTTTCACCAAACTGTTGTTTTAAAAATTCTAAGAACTGTTCAAATGATTCGAAATCTTTTATGCTACACGTTGTTTCCGCCCTACCTTCTAATTGGCTAAGTATGTATTTAAATAGTATCGATTTTTGTTATTTGGAAGCTAAACTGTACGCGTTTTGGCAATTGGATATGAATGGATTTAGTTTTTCTCGTGATCCATCAAAAGGTTTAATGAATTTTAATAACACACCGATTTCTACAAATTTTTCCTCAGCTTCACCGCGCATTGGTAAGTTTTTAGAGGCACAGGGAGTTTCTTCACATTTACTCATTGTGGTATTGAAGTAGTTATTACAAATTAAAATTAAATCGTAGACCGCTTATCGGCTATATAACAATGAACAACACAACACAGAACAATGTTAACTAATGCTTATCGTAACATAAATACATTCAACAATGAAATCACAGTTAATGCATAGAACAATGAATACAGTTTAAATTTGAAATATTGTAACATGAGAATGAAATGGTTTGGAGATAAATTATATTTTAAATTAAATTAAAGGATGTCTTTGCTCTGAGTTCAATAATAATTGTTTAAAAGAAGATCACTTACAGGAGTAGTGATAGAATGATGAATAATCTTGCATCTGTGTTCATTGTATGCTGGAGACACACCCCTGTGTGCCAGTGAGGATGATGACGGTGATGAGTAGGATGCTGGTTGATGCAGAAGGCCTGTGCTTGGAACAGCCTGGATATTGATTTCCTTGATGCACTTTCACTTTGTTTAAACTTTTAATTTTACTTATTTTTCACTTTGATTTAATTGCACTTGTTAGAATTATTGAATAATATTATTCTTCGGAAACGTATTCGGGTAGGGGATTTTCGTATCCCTCCGCTGCCACCAATATTATACGGGACCGTGGATAGAGCTTTTTAAAAAACGATTTTATTTACACAACACGATATAATTGGTTAGAATTAACAATAAGATTTATTTAACTTAGGATTTAGAATAACTGGGACTTAGATTGATATAGTAAAGATTTAGTATAGGATATAGTAACGGCTTAGTAACGATGTATGAACGAGACTGAGATTGGAACGAGACTGACTTGACTTGACTAACTTATGATTCGACTGACTTATGGGCGTTTGTCGGGAGGTCGGTTATATAGGCTTTATTGTGCTGACGCAGCAGCGTGAAAGAGATGCGTTAACCGATCTCCTAACATTGATGGGGTATAACAGTACGAAGGAATTTAGTTTGTCGTTTGTAACGCTGAACTTTGTGACTCGAGAAGAGATCGCGTTCTTGTTCGTGGTTATAATCTTGTTGCTACGTGAAACGGAAGTGAACTTTGATCCACCGTGTATTAGTCGTGCCGTGTGTTACGTTTTTGATTACGATTAACGGGGATTTACTTGAGTTTGAAGTTAATTAAATGTATAATAAAGTTGATAGAATAAAATGAATAAAGAAGTTGTCAATTGGTGATCGCCCCCTTTGAGAGATCTCACCTTTGGAGTAGAGGCAGCGCTTGTGGATCTGCGGTCAGACTTCAACGGTTACATCAGGTTACATTGTACACACTACTACATACCACTTTATATGCACATCACTTATCACCTGACAGGACCCTGTGGTCAACCCTGCCTCCGGAGATTGGTAAGTGCTTGATTATTTGTCAGCCGTTTTTGTAACTTATTTATAACGTTTATCCATAGTCCATTTGGGCTCCACCTTTAGTTGCTTGTCGAGGTATTCCGCGTTTGGCCTCCGGATAGTCAACCTTTGTTGGGGCGTGTACAAAAGTGGTAGCAGAGCGTGTTTTGATTGTTTCTACAATCCCCCGGCCGTAATACGTAAGAAAAATTATTTTTTTTGTTTTGTTAGCGGGTAGAATTGACGCCGCGCCCGTTAGGCTGAGCAAGCAGGAGTTTGTTAGGGCTAGGTACGCGTCTTGTAGGTAGATAATTGTTATCACGTAATCGGATAATTATCGTTGGCGTATAATAATAGTAGATTAATTGCTCGTCAAGGTGTTCCGCTATGTGCCCCGGGATAGTCGACCTTTATTGGGGCAACTAGGGGCGTGTACAAATACTTCTGTGAAAAATGGTGTACACAAGATAATTAAGAACAGACAAAATCTTCTTTTCAAATTTCCGCCGAGTTGTAAGTAGTAGGTCAAATAGGTCGTGTGTCAATTTTAATTAAATATATTTTATATGAAG